AAGGGAAGCCATGCTGACAAAACACCAGGTACAATCATTTTTCATTTGTGCATTATGTTCCTTTTTAGTATAACTGACTCAAAATGAGAAGTCTTGCACAGGCTCAAAATTTCCTTCTGGAAGGACCAGTCAATCCCTGTTTATTCTCCTCCTTTCCGTCATCCTCCTTCCACACACTCTCCTCACCATTTTCTTCCCGCGCCTCTTCCAGTCCCAATCTTATACATTGTAAAACATTGAATCCACTAATGCCGGGTAGATGTAACTAAAAATAGCACGCTGGCACCATAGACTCGGCCCCAGCTGCTGGTATTATACAATTCCATATCACTACATTAGGAAACAGAAATTACTCAAATTCAAAAAGAAAGGTGCCTTAGAACAAATCTAGCGAAGTTTCAGCCCAGTAAATACTGTATATTCCAAGAAAAGCAATGTTCTAGGATTTCAATTTCAGATCAAAAGTCGCTGAGTTATGTCCTAAATGTAGCATCTGAGACACATGCTCATATTCAGTTGAATGCAGCTACGCAATGTCATGCACTGAACTGACCAGTAACTACACGCATGTGCAAATTATGTCAACACTTGCACTTGCTTCCAATGGCAATTTTCCACAAATGCATCTTCAGATGAACTGCTGGAAATGGCCTTCATTCATTGTTTTCTGCAAAACGACAGCTTGCCAGAAAGAACCGTTTCACATTCTGGTCCCATAACCATCTTTGATAAAATTGGATGATTCAGTATCCTGAACCTCTGTGTCAAAAACTGATGTTCAACATTCCTGTGGTGTATCTGCGGTAGTTAGTTACGCATACCTGAGGTTGATAAGTCTCGCTGGTGCCTTGACAATGCAAAGACAGCAAGCTATCAGTCCACCCAGCTTACTTCCTGCCTGTAAATGACTGGTGTTATAATCTAATCTGTCTCTACAAAAATTGAAAATTGGTGGTTAAAATTCTGAACTGCAGCAACAGATTTGCTCACAGAGTATGCCCCCCCCCACATTTCCTGTGAATTATCTACATGTACCTGTGGGCAAAGTGTCCATGTGATTGCAAGGCCTTGTGGGAAGTTGTTGCACACGGCGATGGCTGGCAACAATAATATCTGGCTCCTAGGCTTCTGAATCACAATGTGTGTGGAAAGACAGTCCATCTCACCCATCTTCTGTGCACTGCTGCCCTCAAAGGAGAGATGCACCAACCAAACACTGGCATGGAATTTTGGGGACAAACAACCCTGATGGGAACAATCACTACACTAGATATTTCCAGCGCAATGTAAAAAAAATTGTGCCATTTTGTAATCTGTTTAAAGGCAAATTGACAACTTGTCCTTTAATCCTTTAATCTACAGTCTATTTTGAGTTGACGACATTATTCGAGCCCTGTCCACAATAGAGACTGTGTAACTTTGTCACTGCGGTAAACAATGATTTTAGAGCTGTTTTACCAAGCAGTACAGACTGGTTGGTGATTGAACGGATGAACTGAGACTAAAGAGCTACTCCAGGACATGAATCTTTGACATTTGACCCTCCATCCCTCAGATGGAAGTCAGAGTCTTCTAAAAAAGTCAAACCCCGCACTCATGAACTTCCAAGCTGTCGGACTTAACTTTGGTATGAGTGGGGTTACACGCACACACACGTAGATGACGCATGCTGTGAAAGCACCGCCTTGCGAATTAAACCAAGCAGTGTACATGAAGCATGATAACCACTGAAATCTTGACGTCTTGGGGGCTTCTCAGCCTGTCTCCATTCCACAGAGTTCCATCACCAGTCTATGTCATCCCTTGCATTTCATGAAATGCACTTGAAACTCATCCAGCCTGACCACCTGCAGATATTTCAGAGCTCCATTCACGCTGTTCTCACTGCTCCCATTCTGGTGTGGCAACCAAGCGCTCAGCTGTGGGCAAATTTCAGCTGGAGCATAAGGTGACATCGAATGCAGAGAAAAAGTACACCTCTGTTTTGGTAAAGAGCGAGTCTGGACTCGCAATTATACGTCAAAAGTGCAAAGTTTACAAGAAGTACTATTCTACACATGCTTTTTTTGCTACTTGGCTGAAATTCAGACTGGGAAAATTGCAAAATGTTATGCTTCTTTACTAGGGCTACTTGGTCCATTGGGACTGGCAGCTACAGAGTTGCACTCTCCTATCAGCAATGGGGAATCACGCTTTCCTTTAAAAAGCTATGTGACCCGATCAAGAGAAATGAGTCGGATGTTGGCGAATGTGTTTTGCTGTTACGGTGAAAAATAACGTGTATGGTTGATTTTTGGGGAATTTGAGATTTTACCACAAATCACTGCAAAAAGTCTCAAAATTTCACATCCCTTAATATTACGGTGAACTTCGGGGGACAAGTAGTATTTTGGGGGGCATTTCTTACACCTTCGCTTCTCCCTTTCTTCTAAAAAAGTGAAAAAAAATGATAAAGAAGGCTTATTTTAAGCATGTTTTTGAAAACTCTTATCTTCTCTTCACGTGTGCGCATGCCACCAAGAGACCTTTCGTTTGAAAGGTCAGGTCTTGAACTTTCCAAATATAGCAATGAACTCTTATTTGCATGAAGGTGGCTTGCAAATAATGCACAACTGTAAAGTGTTTCCTACCAAGCGAAAAATCTCAAGGAGAGTAGACTGAAGTGGTGATTGGTCAAAATGCAATCACATGATCAACGCGCATGCGTAGTACTTCAAGCCACCCAAAATATCCAGAAGTAAACATCGTCTGACATGGCGTCGTGCATATAAAATAATTTGCAACCATGGCTACGCGTCGTGTGGCCGCGGAGTTGTGTGAGAATTTGCTTGGACTTAATTTATCCACTGGTATTCCTCATGACATACCGGTAGAGGACCTAGTTAATGATTTTTTCACATCAGATAACGGAGATGTTTCAGATAGTGATTCAGAAGACGAATACAAAAGGCGAGAAAACATTAACGTTCACGATGATCATGATGGCTGTGGTAGCAGGGACATCGACAGTGACACTAACAGTGATAGCGAGGGCAAAATCACCACTGCTGCCACTGCCAGCACGAAGACCTGAGCACAGTTTCTCGCTTGTCTCAGAAATGGATGGTCATGACA